GGTTTTTTTTCATGAAATGTATACAGTACCAACCAGACCTAACCTGACACAAAGCAGTCCCGGGAACTGCTTTCTGGGACTGCTAAAGCAGTCCCAGAGGGGTCCCAGAGGGGTCCTAGAGCAGTCCCACAGCGGTCCCAGAGCAGTCCCACAGCAGTCCCAGAAAGCAGTCCCAGCAGTCCCGGAAAGCAGTCCCAGTAGGCGGGGTTAATTAATTTAATGGGCGTAGCTTACTCAGAATGAGATTACGAATAAACAATTTAACTATAAAAGGCAGTTGAAATTGATGATCATTTCTTTCTGAGTAGGAAAAATCTTCAAAAAATTTCTTCTCAAGAACAGCAAAGCCATGATCAGTCATATTGATATGGAAGCATCTTCAAGTAGTGTAGATTCAAATTTGTTGAAATTGTTGCCCCCTGGAGTAAGAAAGGGCCACAATAGGCCAAAGCTCAAAGTTTTACATATGAATATATAGGGAAAAGTCTTTTTAGCTCACCTGAGCCAAAGGCTCAAGTGAGCTTTTCTGATCAAAATTTGTCCGTTGTCGTCGTTGGCGTTGTCATCGTCGTTGGCGTAAACTTTTCACAATTTCAACTTCTCCAGAACTACTGGGCCAATTTCAACCAAACTTGGCACAGAGTATCCTTGGGTGAAGGGGATTCAAGTTCAAATGAAGGGCCACGCCCTCTTTCAAGGGTAATAAAGAATTAGTGAAAAATGAATAGCATCTTTTAAAAATCTTCTTCTCAAGAACCACAAAGCCAGGGAAATTGAAACTCATGTGGAAGCATCCTCAGGTAGTGTAGATTCAAATTTTTGCAAATCATGACCCCCAGGGGTAGGGCGGGGCCACAATGGAGGATCAAAGTTTTACATAGAAATATATAGGAAAAACCTTTAAATATCTTCTTCTCAAGAACAGGAAAGCCCTTATTGGTCATATTTATATAGAAGCATCCTCAGATAGTGGAGATTCAAATTTGTCCAAATCATGACCCCAGGGGGTAGGGCGGGGCCACAATGGAGGATCAAAGTTTTACATAGAAATATATAGGAAAAACTTTTAAAAATCTTCTTTTCAGAAACAGCAAAGCCATGATAAGTCATATTTATATGGAAGCATCCTCAGGTAGTGTAGATTCAAGTTTGTTCAAGTCATGACCCCAGGGGGTAGGGCGGGGCCACAATGGAGGATCAAAGTTTTACATAGAAATATATAGGAAAAACTTTTAAAAATCTTCTTTTCAGAAACAGCAAAGCCATGATAAGTCATATTTATATGGAAGCATCCTCAGGTAGTGTAGATTCAAATTTGTCCAAATCATGACCCCCGGGGTAGGGCAGGGCCACAATGGAGGATCAAAGTTTAACATAAAAATATATAGGAAAAACCTTCAAAAATCTTCTTTTCAACAACAGCAAAGCCATGATAAGTCATATTTATATGGAAGCATCCTCAGGTAGTGTAGATTCAAGTTTGTTCAAATCATGACCCCAGGGGGTAGGGCGGGGCCACAATGGAGGATCAAAGTTTTACATAGAAATATATAGGAAAAACTTTTAAAAATCTTCTTTTCAGAAACAGCGAAGCCCTAATTGGTCATATTTATATGGAAGCATCCTCAGGTAGTGTAGATTCAAGTTTGTTCAAATCATGACCCTCGGGGGTAGGGCGGGGCCACAATGGTTGATCTAAGTTTAACATAGAAATATATAGGAAAAACCTTTAAAAATCTTCTTCTCAAGAACAGCAAAGCCATGATGAGTCATATTTATATGGAAGCATCCTCAGGTAGTGTAGATTCAAGTTTGTTCAAATCATGACCCCGGGGGATAGGGCGGGTCCACAATGGAGGATCAAAGTTTTACATAGAAATATATAGGAAAAATCTTTAAAAATCTTCTTCTCAGGAACAGCAAAGCCCTGATTGATCATATTGATGTGGAAGTATCTTCAGGTAGTATAGATTTAAGTTTGTTCAAATCATGACCCCCTGGGGTAGGGCGGGGCAACAATGGAGGATCAATGTCTGAAATAGAAATATATAGGAAGGTATCTTCTGATGAAGAACTGCAAAGCCATGATTAGTCATTTTGATATGTAAGCATCTTCAGGTAGTGTAGATTCAAGTTTGACCCCCGGGGATAGGGATGGGCCACAATGGGGGATCAAAATTTTTTTTACATAGGAACATATTGGAAAATATCTTCTCAAGAAATGAAAATCATGTTTAGTCATTTTGATATGGAAGCATCCTCAGGTAGTGTAAATTCAATTATTTTTTCAAATGATAACCCCCAGGGGTAGTTTGGGGCCCAATGGGGATCGAAAGTTTTACATAAGAACACATAGAAAAAATATTTCTTCTCAAGAACAGAAAAGCTATGTTTAGTCATATTGATATGGAAGCATCCTCGGGTAGTGTAGATTCAAGTTTGTTCAAATGATGACCTCTGGGATAGGGAGGAGCCCAGTGATTTTTCTACATTTTATAAAAGGGGCCTGGGCCTTTACGATTGGGAAAAATCATCGACATTTGTGTAAAATTGGGAAAAATCAATAAGATTGAAATAAACCTTAATTGACAGGTAAAATAAAATATATAAATAAATGTAACATCATTTATTCAAAATATTTACTACAACATAACAAATTAGACACAGTTCTACATTTTCAACTTTTTTTTAATCTTTGAAAGTTGTCATTAGTTGTGATCGTCCTATATTCCAATTCTTTTTTTTTTTTTTTTTTTTTTTTTTTGCCATAATGGTAGACATAAGAAAAAATCCTACTCAATAGCCATTGAAGATGATATAATCTGACATGATTTAAAACGAATCATTTTTCTTCTAGCTTTCTAAATCACCGTAATCATTGTGCTGCAATTACCCTGCAATATTAGTTGCATCTGCTGGGTGTAGAAACAGTTTGATTTTCATGGAATCAGGGATGCTTGTTGTAGAACTACTAGTACTTGGATTTACAAATAAAGCTATGTTTCGCCTGTTCACATGCATCTTACACTTTCTTACGATGTATTTAGTTTGACGTTTGACATGATCCATGTGTTTTTCTATGTCTTGTAAACGCACAAAATGATCTGCTGTATTTCACTATTATTTTAAGAGTATGAATGACGGAGAGCAATAGCGTTCCAATTTAGATAAGTCGTACATAAAAAATTCAATAACGGTTTTTCTGGGGGGGAAAAGTAACTGAAATTGGGAAAAAATCGGTAATTTTTGATAGGGGAAAGGGCCGATATTCGGACCTAAATTGGGTGTAGAAAAATCACTGGAGCCACAATGGGGGATCAAAATTTTACAAAGGAATATATGGGAAATTTTTTTAAAAAATCTTCTCAAGTACAACAAAGCCATTTGTTATATTGACATGGAAGCATCATCAGGTAGTTTAAAATTCAACCCCCCCCCCCCAACCCCCAGTAATCTTTTCAATACTGAACTGATTTGTGTCTAGCTAATGTGCTCAGGTGAGCGATGTGGCCCATGGGCCTCTTGTTAACTCCTCTTCTCAAGAACAGGTACATTTAGGCAATTATGAATTATATTAATGTGGAAGCATTGTCAGATAGTGTAGATTTATGTTTGTTCATTTCTTGAAACCACAGTAGGTTGAACCACAATAGATGATCAAAGTTTTACATAGGAATTTATAGGAAAAGATTTTAAAAACCTTTTTCCCAAGAACAGCAAATCCATTTTCTTTTGTTTTTGTTTTTTGATGTAGCATTGGACCGCAAAAGTGATAAAAATTTTGCAAAGGAATACATATATATCGGAAAAATCTGATGAACAACAGCAGGGCCAAATGAATCTGGTTAGCATTGTGGCTCATGGGCCTCATAAACCATTCCATTTAGTGTCCGCTGCACAAGACTATAGAAATGTCATAAGAAATAGCTTCTTGTGATAAAAAAAAATTCAGACAGAAAAATTTTGCATTAAAAGTAATGTTTAAAGCTGACCAGGGCTCATACATAAGCCTTCTTAGTTTCTTAGTATGCCATATTAGATTTCCTATTTCTGATATCAGCTGTATTTATATCCTTTGCATTTGTTACACCATATTGAACAATTGGCCAACCTGTAGTATAACTTAAAGTAATAATAATATATTGTCATATCATATCTTATTTTGTCATAGTGTTGACATTTTATTTCATTGCTTTTTCATGCATTTTGTTTTTGTTTGTAATGCATTGACCTGTGTAATTGATATTACTTTTCTTCCAATATAATATAGTTGCATACATTTGATAAGTTTATTGGAACCTAGTAAAAATGATGATGCAAGGTGTACATCCTGTACAGTGAAGTAGATCAAACCATGAAGTGAAATACTCATATAGAGGCTCAAGAAATAGAGACAAATGAAGAGAAATATGGCATACAAGGATAAATCTTCCTTTAAATTTATGAATTGTTTCAGCTTTATGGAATGGAAATTGATCTATTTTTTGCAATAATTCACTCAAAGTGTTTGTTCAGCAAAACAGATCGAAGACTCAAACTAGTAGGAACAGAAATAAAATCAAGGGTTTTGTGATATTTTTTTATAAAAGTAAATTTTATTGCATTATTAATACACAAGAATAAACCATTTTTGTTTTTGATCAAGAATTTGTTCAGCATTCAAGGGTACTTTTAATTTTAGCTTTGGAGAGTGAGAGACACTATAGATCTTGTTTTTTTTTGTTCATGTAAATTTTAGCAGCATATAATCCGTGAATTACAATGCTCATACTGTATTTACTTAAAGATTAGATGAATTTTAAAGAGAGTGCATTTTATCTTAAAAATTCTCACATTTTCAGGAGCTGTGGCATCTAGCTATTTATATGAGTTATAGTTTCGTTTAGTTTCAATATTTATGGTCATTGCAGGATATTATTAAGTCATGGCAATCTTTAAAAAGTGGTAGATTGTTCCAACTCTAATTGTGCAGTATTGTTGTAAATGTCACTATTTTGCAGGTCAGGAGCATGTCTTTAATAGTGTTGGCAAAGATTTACTGGAGAAGGCATTTGAAGGTTACAATGGATGCATCTTCGCATATGGACAGACAGGTGAAAAAAATATTGATCTGAAAGCTATATCAAAAGGGTATTGTAAAGGAACTAATTTTTATAGCATGTCTGCCTTTTGAGTGTTTTATGGTGTTGCTATAGAAGGGGTAATTTAACACCTTCACCTCTGAACATTGTGTATTGTTCCAAGTAACACAATTTGCATCTTAGCCTGATACAGACTTTCAATGGGACATTGTAACCTTATTAAGTAGAAAAACAACTTCAGTAAAAACAAATTCTGTTCAGGGTGCAATGTCACTGATTATAAAATAGATTAAAATCAGAACCTCACATAGAAAAAAAAATATTAATGTGCAGTTATATGAGTACATGTTGATTTGAAACTCTCATTGAACATAAGAAGTTGACTGGGTAGCATCGTTGTAAACTTTTTTGCTATAAGAAATAATCCTTCCCCTCTTTGGTCAGCAATTATTTTAAAAAATTCATTTATATTGAGGTATTGCAGATGCAGATCCCATAGAATTAAGTGTTGAGGTGAATTAAATATATAATCACATTTACCCTTCCTCTGATAAAAATCTTGAAATTTCATAGGTCAAGAGGAATACTGTATCAAACCTAATTCCACTTCAGACCAATTTGTAGATTATTGACTGGATAAAACAAATCACATGACACCCTGAAGAATTCTAATATACTGTTCCCAGATATACTCACAGGGGATGTATTAATCATCAGGCATGAGATTCTGGTCTACATGTAACCAGTTGCAAACAAGTGGCGGTAAACAAGAGGTTTGCACGGATGTCTGTTGAAGACGTTGTGATTATGCAATGTTTGAAATGATATACTTTATGATATATGTTACTGAAGTCTAACCAAATCTTAATATCTTCAGCAGGATAAATTCATTACAGTCAGTGTGGGACATAATACGGAGTCATCCAGTGCATGAAATGGACATCCATATTGGGACTTTGCTTCGTTGTGCCTAATACAGATTTCCATTGCAAATACTGTATAACACCAACTATGTCCCAAACTGACTGTTTAACTAATAATTTGATGAAATATGGAGATATCGAACAGTATTCAAGCTCAAAGTCCATTAAAACTATACAAATTTGGAGTAGAGCAAACACGGACCTCCAAAAACATCAGAGGTGGGATCAGATACCATGGTGGAGTGAGCATCCCCTGCCGACTAGATGTTGCCTACTGATAGGATATACTTTATATATCCCCTCCAAGTGACTTACTTGCATAAACTGTTTCCTCTTGACCATGTTGACCCCTCAAGGATTTCTAAAACTGACAACACAAATGTGCACAATATATTTTCTCTTACCTGATATCAGTCTTCTATCTGTTTACCATCAAAACCAGGTGTATTGATACCAACATAAACAGGTAATCCTTAGGAGCCTGTAAAATTACAGTAGAATATTAACACATAATTGTTGCTTAATTACCATATATACTCTCCTATAAGTCGGATTTTTGGGAGCTAAACTTTGGTCCAAAACTCTATGTCTGACTTATAGGCGAGTTATAAAAAGACTGGTATTTTAGAATGTCAACCCCTCTAATATAAGCTTCAAAAATACAACCGACTTATAGGCGGACCGACTTATAGGCGAGTATATACAGTAACTCAATCTTATTCAATCTTTGCATCACTATCACTGTAATGTTACGGATTATTACCTTGATATATAGATATTTCTGTATCTTTGTTTAGGCTCTGGTAAATCCTTCACTATGATGGGCAGCATGCAGAGTGAAGGAAAGGGAATCATACCCCGCCTCTGTGATCTCATGTTTGACCGCATTGCCAAGCTACGCAGTGAAGACACCAGCTTTAAAGTAGAGGTCTCTTACATGGAGATTTATAATGAAAAAGTTCATGATCTCTTGGACCCTAAAGGGTAATTCCTAACTTTGATTAGGATTTCACTTCTGGAGTGAAAGAACATTTTCTTTAAAAATAAGTTGGGTTGCTAACAGAATGAGTCAAGACAGTTTTAAGAACTTGTCTGTAAATATCCTTGCATACTTTAGTATCTAAGAACTTGGAAGATTCAGAAACTTGTAAGAGATGTATAATCAGCAGAAGTTCTGATTAAAAGAATTTTCCCATCCATTTGAATAGATATTTGATATCAGAAAAAATGTGTATTAATACAGTGTATTTCCTATTATTTTGTTATAACTTCAGTTTGATTATGTAACATAATCATTTGATGATTTGTAGAAGTAAGCAGAATCTAAAAGTTCGAGAACACAATATCCTGGGACCTTATGTGGATGGCTTGTCTATGTTAGCTGTTGCATCATATGAGGTATGTCTTTGTACACAACTGGGCTGTAGGCATAAATCAAATACAAACCCTCATGCCCACCTTTTTGCATTTGCAGAATTTCGTAGCTTAAGTAGCATTAGGAACACAGCCACAAAACAAATCCATCCTGATTTTAGGTCTAGTAGTCAAAGACCAGAAAAGTTTTTGCAATGGTAAGGTGTTTATCATTTGCCTGACTGTTTGTTTGTTCATCTGTAAACAATTTTTCAAACTCTTCCTACAGATTTAACCTGATTTCGATTAATTTTGCCACACATGTAAACTACATCAAGTTACATAAATCTATAGAGCAGTTTTTAGGTCACCTGAGTCATGTCATCTGGGTGTATCACTCTTTGAATGTAAGCTTCTGAACATTTTAAGCTGCTTCTCTGGAACTGCTCAACCAATTTCAACATTAATCAGTAAAAATATTCTTCTCAAGAACAGCAGAGATATGATGAGTCATTTTACTATGCAAGCATTCTCGATAATTCACAGGTAATGCAATTCAATTTTTAAATCAGAGTCCCTGAGGTTAGGATGGGGCCACAGTAGGGGACAAAATTTCTTCATTGAAATATGCAGGAGAAAAATCTTTTTAAAAATAGCTGGGCTATGATTGGTCCTATTAATATGCGAGCATTCTCAGGAGTGCAGATGAACTGTTTACATGATGACAATGAACACTTAACCTATTTTCAAAATTTTCAAATTCATACCCCTCTGTCCCATGGTTCATGCCTGAGGGTAGGGGCTATGTTGGTCACATTGAAAGTATGTTTGAAAATCTTCATTATTCATGCACATAAAGGCATACTTACATGATTATAAAGAGCAGCTCATCCTCTGCAAAAATTGTATAATTCATGTCCTCCTGGACCAGAGATGGGTGGGGCTAAGTTTGTCATTTATTAAAATTTATTATACACTGTGCCTTATTTTATTTACTCCTGAACTTATGGGAGACAAGCAGAGAAATATGAATTTAGAATCTTCACCAAAACTGTGAAATATAGGTCCAGGCCAGTTCCAGGTGGGCCGAAAGTGGTCATGGCTAAGAAATTCATGATACTCAGGTGACTGTTAAAGCCCATGGGGTTCTTATATAAAAATCTTTTGAAAAATTGCTTGACCTCACTTAATTGCATTCAAATGGAAACATTTCATATTGTGTGAATGTTTGGGAGTTGAACTGAGTTCATTATCCCTTAGCTATCATGCAGTTAGCGTGCTGTGTGAGCCAGTTTTTTTTCTAATTAGGGATCCTGGGATTAAATTATTAGAGATAACATCAGGGAACCGTCTATGGCATGTTTAAATTTTCTGCAGAAAAGCAAGGCCATGTTTGATTTTGAAACATCTCAATGGTATGTGGATGTAAGTTAGGTTATGTCATAACCCCATGGACTACAGGGGGGCCACAATAATAGGTAGAATTTTTCATGTGAATAGATTGGAAAATGACTTTTCTAGTCTGATGAAGAACAGAAGGGCCAGGGTGACTCAGGTGAGCATTGTGGCCCATGGACCTCTTTCTTTAGAAATTAAACATTAGCACTAATTGTTAACTTCAACATATGCTTGTATATAATTTCTGCTGATACCAACAACTCATCGACAGACAACAGGTTCAATTCATTGAAATGAATGGATGTCATCTGATCTTTAGTTAAACTTGTCTAAGTGACAAGTCTTAGAACGAAAACTCATGGATAAGGACAACTCATCAATAATATTTGTATGGACAAAATTTTTATGCCCCCATAATTGTAGATTCAGGAGCATATAGCTTTTTGTCTCTCCATCGATATGTTTGTCCATATATATATAAGTCTGTTTGTTTGTTAGCAAAAACGTTAACCTTGCCCATAACTTTTGAGTGGTTGGTGCAAGGGCTTTCATATTTCACTTGTGTGTTCCTTGTGACAAGACCAACATTTTTTACCTCATGATCTTGACCTTGATTTGACCTTCTTTGAAAAACCTTATCATGAAGATAACCAAACAGTAATCAATCTCAAAAGTTCATTGAAACAATACAAATTTGGAACAGAGAAACAACGGACGTCTTAAAAACATCAGAGGTGGGATCAGGTGCCATGGAGTAGTAAGCATCCCCTGTCAACCGGTCACACCTGCTGTGTGCTCATTGTTATGATCAGGCAAGCGGAAAAATCTGTAGACAATTCAATGTTTAAATAATGGCTTAACAATTAGTGTGAAAAACGTCAGTCAGCATTTGACTTAATGATAGATTGTTTTTGCTGACAAGGTCATTGTATCGACCATAGAACTTGGGAAATGATGACTTTAAACGAGACTGTTGATATCCTTGTTTCATCAACTTGTTTGTCAATAGCTTGCCTCATTTTAGAAATTGTTTGTACGTGGAGCATGCACTTGCTTATCGAATCAACCGTGAGATATGAACCCCATATGCAGGTGACAAGGGTATATTGCTACATAAATAAGGGAAGTTAACGATGGAAAAGTTGAAGTTATCATGTTTATCATAAAGTTTTGAATGGTTGATGCTAGAGCTTTCATATTTCACATATTGGTATATATTTTTTATGGCTTAAGACTGTTCTTTGAATACCTCAAATTATTTTTGACCTAATAATTTTTTTGACATTGGAGTTTCACCTACTATTGAAAAACTTTAACTTCGGCCATGAGCTGCCATACAGGGGCATCAGTGTTAAACAAATATTTTTTTTTCAAATTCTTTGCTTTAGTGTTACACAAACACGTCTTGTTTTCCAATTCTTCGCTGTACTTCGCTGTATGATGATGGTACCTGTGATGCAGTGCCCCCATTAATCCATCAGTTGAACACAATATGTTCACTTTACATTGGAAGAATTGTTCCTTTTGAATATTGCTTGCTCGTAAGCTTATGCCAAAGAAGAGAATTTGGACTTGTTTGTAAAGTTTCTGCATCCTGAGTAGACTTTCAGAGAGCTGTACATAAAGCTGCCTGTCAGATTTTCCCTGATGTTTTGTTTCATTTTGATTTTACTTCCATTTTAGTAAAGCAAATTGGAGAGAAATATGTTTTCTCTGTGTTAAATTGAATAGAAACATACTGTATGTGTACTTAAAAAAGCGGACTTCATATTTTAGCAGATTTGGTGCAGACAAGGATGTGCTAATTCACGAATACCGCAAAGAAATCATTTATAAACACAATATACGACACGGACATGTGTAGCGCTAATTCATGATTTTGCCAACAACTCCATACCCAGTAATTGCG